AAAGATTCCCGGGGGGAGGGGAAAAAACCGCAGGAAGAACGCAAGCCTCCCTTTTGTTGGTTCGTCACAAAAAAAAAAAAAAAAAAAAAAACAACCTAGCATGTTCCTTTACTTTCATTCTCTCCAGGGATCAGTAGACATTACATGGAGCCAATAGCAGCAGTGTTGTGGAATGCTTTTTAGAGTCACTGCTCAATCAAACCTCAAGGACGTTTTTGGGAAGAGTACCGAGATCTGTAAGCACATGAAGGCTGGACAGAAGTGGGCACATCATCCTTACAGATGAGATGTAAATGCGGTTAATATGTGTTAATATTACTCCGATTATTTTTAGTTGAAAGCAAAGACGTGTTTTGAAAGGTGCAATTTGAGTAAAGAGATGTTCTGATGGTAACCAGATGTGTGGAAGACCCAGCATGAAAACATCTCCATCTTTTCTTCTTGTGGACTCAGAAGACTCCAGTGCTTTTACTTTGCAGAACCATGGTACAGTGGTTCAAAATACAAGATATTTTGATTTATTTTAATAAATTTCATTGTTTCACAATACAGTTTCAAATCTCTTGCAATAATTGGTCAATACTTAAAGTCCATCTCCCAAACTTTGAGGGAAAACATTTTTTTTTTTTCAATTTTAGAAAAGAATAAACTAGCCAACAGGTAAAGGGAAATGACTGATCTACTGTTACAGAGTAGGAAATACCAAAAGGGCACTATTCTTGGTGTTTAATAATTATGTACATGTGTTACCTTCAAACAAAGCAATTTAATTCAAACAGTTTACTGTTGCATTTTAACTGGTAGTGTGGCTTGCTTTAATTGTTTTCTTCAAATGGTGGTAGTTTGGCAAAATCTTCATCAGGAAGTCAAGTTGGAGAGTCTGTGGCTGTAATGACAATAAAACATTTCAATGAAGAGCATAACATTGCAAAAACAAAATCCGAGAAATGTAGGTAGGCTGGGCGCTCTTGGATAGCTTCACCACTGTTGCTTACTTTCTCCTATTGCAGATAATGGCTCTTTGTGGTTTCATGGAGGCCCAAACCCTTAGAAATGTCTTTCTAACCCTATCAGACTAACAAATGTCAAACACTTAAATTTTCTTAGAGGCAAGATGTGCTGTTCTTGACACATTTTACCCCATTTCATTTTGCTAAATAGGTTCTATTTAAGTGGTTTCTCGATTTGACAGATTAAACAGTAATCAGGGAGGGGTGGCAACCATAGATAATTCATAATTTATCAATGGATGCAATTATATCTTCACATGGGAGTAGATTGGTTGGATTGCCTTTTTCCCCTAAATAAAAACCATCTTTTATATTCATAGCCAGGTTATCTGTGTCTGGAAATAAAAATGCGATAAAGAAGACAATAAAAAAGTAAGGGGGCACTGTACTCTGTAGTGTTTATACAAGACTGGTTTATTTCTGCTCTTCATGCAGCAATGCAATTATGAAAGTGATATTAGCTGGTTAAACAGTTCAGGTATTTGCTTGAGTAGAGCCTTCAGTCAGCAGCTTAACAGACACTAAGCTTGTCAGCTGTAGTTTTAAACCTGCTCTCTTTAACCCAGCAAGCCGACGATGTTCAGCAACAGCTGGGAGAATACCTCCGCAGCACTTTGGTGTAAAAATCGAATCCATGTTTGTTTTCCTTTTTCCAACTGTAGATCCCATGAAATGTTAAGATAAGAATAACCATTTTGCCAGGAGTAGAATTTAACAAGAGTCATTGGGGTTAAACAGTGTAAACCTTTTTTCCTCCCCCTCTACTTCTGAACATTTGAACCATCATAAAAATTGGTCAGAGTAGCTAAGTACACATACAAAACTTTCAGTCAGGCAGGGATGTCTAAAAGTAAGGAAAATAGTTTATGTATACCTAGTGGGTAAAGTGGCAGGGGTATAGAATACCGGCTAATTTCAATTGAGATGAATAAACAGTCCCAACAGAAAAATGTATTCATTTATTCCACTGTGACACCAAAATAAAATGATAATCCTACACCTGGAATATTTCTCTGTAACCTGGACGTGCAAAACCATGTGTATCCATACCTGTGGTCTCTCTGTTTGAACTCTCCTCATACATCCAGAGCCATATATGACTGTGTTCTCAGGTATGACCTCACAGGTGTTGACCTGACAGAAGGCTCCAATGATACATCCACTGGTGAGAATCACATTCCTGCCAACGTCAGCTAGACGGCAAGACACAGGAAAAAGAAAATATGGTGAGTAATTCTGTTAGATTTCGGTTCTAATAGCTGAATTTGGTAGAGCCCACCTTTAGATTCAATGACGTTGTTGTCACCAATTTTCAAGGCTTGAGATACTGTTTAATAACAGTTTAGGCAAATCTGGTTTGGAATTATGAAAGCACTTTCAATTATTTATACACAATAACAGGCACAGGATTGTCAAAAAAGGATACCACAGCCGACTTCAAACACGTTGTTTGTACCAATGGTCATGGTCTTTGGCTCCACTTCAGAGTCCGGGGTGATGTTTTCTGGATAACTGAGATTTATACAAATGTATAACATTTTTACCCTTAGGATTTGTTGTAAAGCTCTATCCATATTTAAATTTGATCAATACTTGTAAGATGAGTCTAATCCTCACCTGTTGATGATCAGAGCTTGTTCTTCAATCAGGTTGCCTTCTCCAATCACAATGGGTCCTGCTTCTGCTATAATCCGAGCTTTTGGATGGACCACTGTTCTAGGGCCTGAAACAACAAACAGTTACAGTAAAGACAAATTATAATCCATTTGCAAAATCTCTTGGCTTATGTGTTTGCTACTTTTTTATTTCAAAAGCAGAACATCTTACCAATAGTAACATCTCCTCTGATCTCGCTTTCAACACAGACTACAGCCCCAGCTGCTATTTTGACACTGCGAAAACAGTAGAAGTAACCGCTTAACAATGCTAGCTTAGGGTGCTAATTAGATACTTTTCTTGACACGTTAGAAAAAGCGGTAAAACTGCTTCCCTGTTACCAGTTCTCAATTATTTATAAACGAATAGCAGTTAACCTAATGATTGGACATAAACCTATGCTTACATTACCTTTTCTGTGCGTTTAATTTGTCTGCCATGGCAAGAGCTGCTCTGATGGGAAACTGCGTTGATTCACTCGGGTATCGATTGGAAATCCTTTTCTCCACCCTCTGTGCATGTGCGCATGCGTCTGTCAATGTAATGGCTCCTGCTACACTGTAACACATACCAAACAGCACTGTACTACTAACATTACTTTGCACTACTACTGCTGAAGTGTAAAAAAAAAAAAAAAAAACATTCAGACGTTTTCAGGGAGATACACTTTTAAAACGTATACTAATTTATCTGGCTTAAGACGCAGTTACTATAGCAACCAACTCTAATGACTGCTTACAGGAAATAATTTGATCAATATGATGGAGGAGACCTACACTTAAAAAAGGATAACCAAACCACAATTCAAAGGATGTCTTAATAAAGTAGCTAATGTGCCTAAAACGGCACAAAAATAAGTGTTTTAGAAAATGATATACAATGTGACCATTGATCTGTTTATTAGCGTTATACATTTTTCCCTGTTTATTTTAATTATTATTTCCACTGTATTTATTTTATTCAGCTCCTATTTATTTATCCTTCTTGTAGGCATTTGAAAGTAAATGGGGCGTCAAAAAACAACCATATCTGTCACATTGTATACATTACAATGACTCTATTTTTGGTGTGATTGTTGGTCCATTCATTGCTTCATTTGAACATTTATTTAATTTATGTATTTTTAATGTCACTGGGGTTTATTCAGAATGCATGGAATTGAATTGTGTTCAGGTTTGTGGGATTATTTTACCCTCCAATGTGTGTCACACCTGAAAATGCGTTAATCCACTGCCTGAAAAATCAATGTCATAGCCTTTGTTCAACATTTTAACACCTGCTGCCTGATTGCAAAATTGATGCGACAATTTTCTGAACACCGGAACCATTTTTGTCCCTCCACGCTTCCACTATAATATAACAACAAGGAAGTGTAGGAAGTTGAATACATGGCAAAAAAGAAACCAGAAGAAAACCCAAAACGCATATCTTCACATACATCTTCAGCTGCGAGAGAGAAGGCGGAAAAGCGAAAAGAAATGAAGCAACCCAAACAAGCTAATATGTTTTTCCTCGCTGTCATTGTTGTTGTTATTGCCGTTTGCGTAGGACCACTAATGGCTGAAATCTCTGCGCGTAAGTACATGAATGTTGGCAAATAAAATCAGATACATTTATTTGTGGCTTGGTTAGCCCCATAGCTATTTGGCTAATGTTAAGTAAAACTTTTCGCAACCCTTTCTAACTATTTACAACAGTTTTAAGAAATCGTTAACGAGTCACCGCTATGGACTTGAAGAAGGTTGAAACTATTATCTGTCACTAAAGGGGAACATAATCCAAAGAGTTTGTTGTCACCTCCTTTAGCTTGAGAGAAGAACATCTCTAAGTAGGAGACAATTAAGCATACCCTGGATAAACGTCAGGAGATACTTTGACTCGGTCTATCTCTAAAACTGTACAGCAAAATTATGAAATATTTATTCTGGATATAGTCTCATCGACACTTTAAAAGAATCCAAAGACAGTTTATTGCCACCTTTTACGATTTCAGAGAAATACATTTCTGAAAACTACATAGTCTGGATTGGCATAAGTACTTTCACTGAATCTGTCTCCAAAAATCCACAGTAAAATAATGAAATATTTATTTTGGGTATAACATAAGTATGTGAAAGCAATAGCAATGTCATAAATACACACTTGACTGTTTCATTTAATTTTTATCCGCCTGCAAAGGCACGCCTAGTGCTCTTTTACCGTAAGCCACCATGTATGTGCGAAGCTAATGTTTAAGAGGTCGAACGGGTTGACCGTATTTCTGAGTTTTGGTTTGGAAACTGAGCCGCAAATATTTGAACTTCCCTCTTAGGGCTATTTATGGATTTACTCAGCATGTGATCAGTGAACTCAGCAGCCATGTACACTGCAGATCTCTCACATGCTTTAGTCCTCCGCACCTTTTTGCTAACTGGCATTTCTTCTACCAAACTGGTTGGAATAGCCCTCTTTCTCTTTAATCTGTACAACCGCATATTTAGGATATTTGTTGATTATATCCTGAAAATCCGAGCATGCGTGCGCGTTTATTTCAGAACAAATCATTGTAAATATTTCTGATGATCTAAGTGGTTTTTATAGTAGCTGTGCACTGATTTTTTTTTTTTTTGTTTGTTTGTTTGTTTGTTTTCTACGAAGAACCGAACATAATATGCTAGAACGCTTTAGTTTATTATGTAGAAGCCGATTGTTAATGGATGTCATCTGACCGATTTTCTTCTCTCCAGCTGACTTTGGTCACTCTAAACACGTTGGTTTGAAGATGGATGAGGCTCTTTTGACGGTCAGCAATGAGCTGGAGACGGAGATCCTGGTGTCCTGGAGGTCAGAGCGCTGCTACCAGGTAAGCTCCAACCTACCAGTTTATCCAGCTCTTCTTGACTGTTCTGCATCACAAAACTGTCAAAAAAACAAACAAACATCTGATGCGTTTATTGATGCATTTCCAAATGTGCTGCTAGTGTTTGTACCAGCTTCTGGGGGTGGTGCCAGCAGGGAGCAGCCCTGGCCAGCCCGGCTCAGCTGACTTTTCTGTGAGCACACAGCATGAAATAACTCTGCAGCTCAACAGCGCTCCTGAGGCCCAGGAGATCTGCAAGTAGGTCTACACACTGTAGTTCTTTGTGTATGAGAAGTGGCAATGCACTGTCTAATCATCATATGCTTGGTGACAGAACTTCCATATCAACTATTGAATTCGATTGGATATTGACTTTGACACTTGAGCAATTTTAAAGCATTTTTACGAGTTTTAAATATGCATCAACTGGCTATCTATGTTGTCTTGAAAAGTCTTGTCATGTTACAGTCACTGTAGACAATGTATTTTATTTGGCTTTATTTTGGTATTCATTTGATTAATGCTTTTCTTGCTCAGTTTGTTAGTTTAGCTGGACAGTCATATCTTGGTAGGTTTGCAGTTAGGTTACATTCTCTCCTTTTTCAGAGGATGGATTGAACGTTGAATGCAAATTCACTCCACACGTTAGTTTTTTATTTATAAACATGTAAAAAAGCTATGCATCTCTCTCCATTAGACTTACAGTTTTGCACTACCTCATGCTCGTCTATCGCAAATCAAATTCCAATAAAATACAAAGAAATTTGTAGTTTTGACACAATTAAATGAAAACATTCTAGCAGTATGACTTGTTTTTTTTATTTTTATTTTTTTTATTTTGCTTGGCATAGTATATACAAAAGCAAGGATAAGTGACAGTCTTTATGAAAGAATTTAATAACCAGTTAAATTTACTGTGTTTGGTTGATGTTTTAATTCCCAGAGTTCAATTCCACTTCAGGGAGCATGGGAACTACTCTCTGTGGATGAAAAACCTCAACAACGTCTCGCTCACTAACTGCTCCCTAGTGACCAATTCAGACCCTGTAAACAGTAATATGCGTGAGTGTCACACACATGAATGCTTTATTACACTGGGGTCATATAGATAAAGGTTAAATATTTTGAGCCCTAGAATGAGGCTTGTACAAATAACATTTCTTTACACTAATGTCCCGCTTTTTCCATGCAGCGATCTTGGTTGCTTTTTTTGTCTTTGTGGGACTGGCCTTGATATTTGCCGTCGGATGTAGAGTATTAAGGTGGGGCTGATTTATAATATTTGTCTATTTTATTAAATCATTTCCTAATAAGATGTCGTTTTAAGTCTTGTGTGTGTGTTTTCATGAATAATATTTGCAGTGTTTGGATAAAAATGTATGTAAATCTCTCAAGCACCAGTCTTTTATTAAGTGCTGTGTTTCTAAGAGGCTCCCAGTAAGCACACTGTGATTCTTGTCTAGATTTGGTGTGGTAAGGGGTTTCGTCCTCAGAATCAGTGGGACCATGGAGACAGAGAGGCTCATTAATTCTGTGAGTGTTTCTCCCTGCAGGGTTTTTTTTTTTTTTTATTAAATTCCTTTGTGATTTAAGCACCTGATTTTGGGAGAATACAATAAAGTTCACATGTAAACTTACTCCAACCGTCCAGGAACTGGGGTCTCCTCGGACAGACGGGCTAGTTACTGACAACATCCTCCCTTCCCCGGCCAACGCCAACAGAAGGCTTCGTTCGCTCGACACGTTCAGAGGGTAACCCTAACCCTTCAGTCCAGCTCTGGTGACACAGCATTAACTAATTTACAACTTTAGCCTGACTTGTCATTTTCATTTTATGTGATTCTCACAACAAAGGAGATATTGAAACAATCATATTATTTTGCTCCACTCCACTAGCAAACGTACTCAGTTTCTTGGTGCTACATTGTCATAAAGAAGAAACAGTTTAGTTACTTGTTTTTGATTGAAAAAGACAGAGTTTGTGGTCAAACTTTCTGGAACATAGTCCCTTTCAAAAGTATTCCTTCCTCATAAACTTTTTCACAAATTACCTCAACATGCAGTGATATGATAATTTTAATTAGGTGCATTGAAGCAGAGATTTCACACAGGTCTTGAAGGACTAAACTTTTAAAATCTAACCATTTCGTTTAAATTTGGTTATATGTTTGGAGTCATTCTGTTACCAAAATGTGACCTTCTGACTTAGTTGTTTTGCTGCCTACAATTCCAGTTTTTCAGCGTTATGATGATGTTCATCTGTAAATAATGCTTCCCTTACCCAGACTGATTTGATGGGTTTTTATTTGCACTGGGTTTTATTTATGTGTGTCAGACAGAAACAAATGTGCACAAGACATTTAAGATTTTTATTTTAAAAAAAAGTTATAAATCCCAATGCATCCCTTTTTCTTTTGCCTCACAATGATGCACAATGTTCTGTTGGTCTGTTACACAAATTCACAATAATATACATAATAATATTTGTGGTTTTATTCTGACAATATTTAAGAAGACTCAGGGGGATGTGAATAGTTGCAAGTACACTGAAATGCAAGGCACTCTTTATTAAAAGTTTTTTCCATCTTTTCAAATTCCTGTAGGATCTCTTTGGTTATTATGGTGTTTGTGAACTATGGAGGAGGACGATACTGGTTCTTCAGACATTCAAGTTGGAACGGTGAGCCTAACCTTTTAGCTTTCTTCCTTTTTTTATGCTTTTTTCCGTTGTCATCTTGGCTCTTGTTCATTTTGTTGATTTATTTATTGTCCTTCGCTTCACAGGTCTTACAGTTGCTGATCTTGTTTTTCCTTGGTAAGACAAGTTAATTATTTTCTATGAATTTCCCCACTGTGGGACAGTAAAGAATATTTCCATGCTATTGTTTTACCTACAATTGTTTTATATGTACACGGGAAGGGTATAAGAGTGTAAGAGTTTTCAGCTCCCAACGTTTGTCCTGGTGGTCCCTTCCAGTTATGTTTCATCTTCTCTCCCTTCACTGCATGTCTCCGTCCTCCACCAGGTTTGTGTTCATCATGGGCACATCCATCGCACTCTCCATCAACTCAATGCTGCGTGGGGGAGCGAGTCGTTCCTCTCTGCTCAAGAAAGTCATATGGAGGAGCGCTCAGCTGTTTCTCATTGGTGTCTTCATCATTAACCCAAACTACTGCCTTGGACCATGTAAGAATAAATGTCTCCAGTGGATGTTGTTTGCCATTTAATATTGATTATTTTTGCTGAATTCAGTCCTAAAGTGTATAAAATTGGCTTTTATAGCTTACATTTGTTGTAGTCTCTCATCTTGTGTCTTTGCCTTAAGTGTATAATTTACTCCACAGTATCGTTTGACAAGTTGAGGATCCCGGGTGTGCTGCAGCGCCTCGCCTGGTCGTACTTGGTTGTTGCTAGTTTGGACTTACTGGTGGCAAGAGGACATCTGGACATACTCACAACAGTCAGCCAAAAGCTTTGCTTTGCCATCATTATTTAACATTTATTTATATGTTTTAAAGAAATCTTTAGAAAATCTTTAATTTGTTCCAACTGCTAATGAGAATTGTCTGTTTTCCAGGATGCTTGGTGGTCTCCTGGTCTTGATATAATACTTTACTGGCCAGCCTGGGTTTGCGTGCTTCTTATGGAAATTGTTTGGCTGTGCCTCACTTTCCTTCTTCCTGTACCAGATTGCCCAACGTGAGTCAACCAGTGCTTTTGTGCAGCAACAATAAATTGTTGTTTTTTTTTTTTTTTTTGCTAAAAGAAGACAAGTGAGAAATGTATACCTCCTCAGGACCTCTGGATGCTTTTACTGCATTAAATTCAGCTTCATTTGTAAACTTCAACAAATATTTTCTTTTGTACAGAATTTTTAGATAACACTGAAGCAGTCAATTCTGCTCCTTTGTCTGCCCTATCAGTAACATGAATTTATCCCTTCCTGTTGGTACAGAGGATACCTGGGTCCAGGTGGGATCGGGGATATGGGCCTCCATACGAATTGCACAGGCGGAGCAGCTGGTTACATTGACCGCAGGCTACTGGGAGAACAGCATATTTACCAAAGTCCCTCATCAAAGGTTTGTGCAATGTTTATTTTGTTCTAATTTTATTGTTAGAGATGAACCAAGAAATTTCTACTTGATCAGCCCAGACTGGCAAGTCAGCAATGTTAAAATAAACTTTTCAAATGAGTGAACACACCATCCCTAAGCCCTACTTCTTTAGTGCAACGGCACTAAGAAGACTAAAAGTTACCTATTCTCAGTATCACTAAGGTGTACAAAAAGACAAGAAACTGTATTTTCTATGATGGGTACAAGCCCTCACAACCACAAACCCCCATTTTCATAGATAAGTGAGTCTAGACAATGAATGGATTGATGGAAGAATGTGTTTTGTATGACATGGTAAGATATCTGCAGTTAAGTCAGGGCTCCTCAGGCAATTGATGACAATGTTCTGATCGGTGCAGCTCTAATTATAAAGACTTACTTCCTAATTGGCCCTCCCACAGTTACACAAATATTACTGAAAAGTGATCTGAATCAGTTTTAGAATATTTACATAAACACCTCTTTGTTGTCATTGTAATATTCAGGTGATTTATGCAACTAAGATGCCTTTTGATCCAGAAGGTGTTTTGGGAAGCATCAACTCTGTCCTTATGGCTTTTCTTGGATTACAGGTTAGTATTTATTTAATACTTTGTAAAAAAAAAAAAAAAAAAAAGTAAATAAATATATAGGATTGTAATATCAAGTAAGTGTTTATAATGCATATATTTTTTGTGCTCAGGCTGGAAAGATACTTTTACACTACAGAGATGTTCCTACAAGTGTTATTTCAAGATTTCTCATCTGGGGTCTCTTACTGGTATGATAATTACCTATTAACTTTGTACAAACATGAAATAAAACCAGACTAGTAGATCTGAGAACTCACAAGCCGATTATGTTTTCAAAGACACCACATGCACACATACATCCATTTAGGAATAAAGGAGTCACATTTGAGGAAAAGAGAACAAGTTAAAAAGTTACTAAGCTTGAAGAAAAGTAGAAAAAAATATTCTTTATAATGTGAAAGCACCAAGAATACCCCTTATTTTTCCTCACACAGCATTTACAGTTTGTTTTTTGTTTTTTTGAAAAGATAATGGGCAGTCATGTCTGTGGTGTATTTTGTAAAATTTAAGTTAAATTTGATGTTAGCTCTTATAATACACCATAGGCCATATTAAAACCCCTAAAACTTATAGTAGGTGTACTTTCTATTAACAACGGTCGTCTTCAATATGCTAGTTTAGCATCTCAGCATGAGTTCATCAGGCTAGGTGATTTAAAAACAATTTCAATATTTGCATTTCTGAAATGACTAATTGTACTGAAAATTATGTTTCCTGATGGTTATTTTTCCTCCCCTCTGGATAATTGACTATTCTTCATCCCTCAGGGAGCCGTATCAGCAGTTCTGACCGAGTGCTCCACAGACAAAGGTTTCATTCCTGTCAACAAGAACTTGTGGTAAGGTTTGCTCCTAAATATTGTAATATGGGAAAGTGTATTCCAAGTGTGGTTACCTTTTTGTGTTGGTTGAACAAATGCTTAAGAACATTCCCCCAAACAATTGTTTTTAATTTTAAAATGTAAATACTTAACATTTTCTGACAATTACGTTTTTTTTTTCTAATTAATTTTCAACTAAGAAAACTCGTAAATTTTGTTCTGTAAACACATCAAACATCAGTGGACTTGTAGACATGCAACCAGTGGAGATATGTATTTATATGAGAAATACTCCTTTATTTTGAGTTCTTTTCCAACCCATGGCCTTTACTTGTATCTGTTCAATTAGTATTAATTGTGTTATCTGATTGACAGTGTTATACTATCAGCCTGCCAAGCCACCCATATTCATTGATTTGCAGTTTCCCATTTTACTTTTAACTAACTTAACAACACCTAATCTGAACATCTTTAATAATTATCTTGTGTCTCTTTGTATCACCTCCAGGTCACTGTCCTATGTGACAACATTGGCTTGTTTTGCCTTTGTGTTGCTTGTGCTGATCTACTACACAATTGATGTTAAGAAATGGTGGTCTGGGGCACCTTTCTACTACCCTGGTGAGCATTTCTGTTAAAAATACAGAACTGAATGGCTAGACTGTATTTATATAATTTGTCGTGATCAAGATAAGCCCATGTACCTGTTTGATGGATTGGGAGCCATTGTGACTGTTCCTTCACTCACTTGTTTGCTTGATTTCAGGTATGAACTCCATTCTTGTGTATGTGGGGCATGAAGTGTTTGAGGACTACTTTCCCTTCCGCTGGCGCATGGCCAACAGCCAGTCACACGCTGAGCACCTCATCCAGAATATTCTCGCCACATCTTTGTGGGTTGTTATCTCTTACATCCTCTACAGAAAGAGGATTTTCTGGAAAATCTAAAGGACAGCTTACTAAATCAGCAGGAGTGCACAAGCAATGCAAATATATATATATTTTTTTACATCTGAATTGCTGGTGATAACATTTAAAACCATGTGGGAACAGCTATTAATTTACTTTATAAGTACCATAATAATTACTTTTTTCTAAACTGGTTTGATTTCATCTTACAAAGCAGACATCACCATTGCTTTTCTCATCTTGCATCTTTTGTTAATGATCATTAGACTGCAGGGCCAAAGATGTTTAGCACAAATTAGTTTTTTCCCCCCACATTTTTGATTAATATTACCAAGTATATATTTGTTCTCTTTAAATCTGGTTTTCGGTCTCTGAAAACCGAAAAGCAGATTAATGGTTTAGATGGTTTAGTGATTTGGGGTTCTGTAATATACTTTTTTTAATTTTTTTTTAGCTCAAAATTGTAAGATGTTACCCCATTTGTTTTTTAGGGAAAAAACATCTGGGAAGTGAATTCAGGATGCCAGCAGACTTTAATTGATTTCACTACTTGTCATCAAATATTTGAAAAGTCCAGTCATTGACTTGTGCTAGCATGTTTTAAAACAACAATGCTGTTTATTTCCACAAATGTCAGATAGACACATATAAATGTTTTAGAGCACATTTACAAAGAATTAAATGTAAAACATGCTGATTATCCAAATGCTGTCAGATTTTGGTATAAGTGTTCATCTTGTACTTTTTGAATTGATTTTGTCAAACTTTTATACATGGAATTTTTTTTATATTGTTCATAATTTGAAAATTATTTAATAAAGATAATTCAGACTTATTTTGAGTTTAAATGTACATTATGTGGCACCTTACAATTTCTTTTGAAAACAAAAGAAAGATATGTTCTGAAATTTTAGCGTGTCCTTTATAGGACGACTTTAAAATATAATTCGTGTTAGTAGCTGTTATTTATATTCAGCCTATATGTCAAAAGGTTAGTCTGTATTGCCTAAGAGAAGTCGTGGGAATCATGTAACAGTGAGAGTGCCATGAGAGAACTAAAAAAACGGGTAGTAAAGGTGCCTCTTAATCTCGCGATGACTGTGGGTTATCGGTTCGTGTCAACAGTAAGTTTCTTATTCTCGCGCGATTTAACTACTTTCCCACGCCTGTTGTTTTGGCGTGTGCTTTCTGTTGGTCACCCCATCGCCACCCTTCTCTTTTCCCCCTCCCACTTCTCTCACCCTTTTCCCCCATCACATCTCCCTCCGTCAATCTCGTCTCTGCTAGTACGGTTTTTCTGAAGCGGATTGGCTTTGGCGAGAGCTTGGGGGTGGGATCTCGCGATTGTTGGATTTTTTTTTCCGATGGGGAGGGTGGAGGGGAGATTCGAAGATGGCGCCCGTCGTGACGGGGTAAGTAGAAATTGGACCATAATGTGGTTGAAAAAGGTCAAGTTATCACATAGAGAAGCATTCCTAGGTTTCACAGAGTTTTTATTCATATTGGAAGTTATAGTTTTTTAAATATTAGCGTTGTTAACTCGGTAATCTCACCGAATTCAGCTTGTGCTTTAAAGCTGGGTCAGTTTCTCAAAACTATTTTTCGCAGCATGCTGGTTTTCTATTCCTCTTGAATTTCTCCTTAATTATTTCAGATTAGTGCATATATTTCGTATTTTGTATGTTTTCTTAATCAGTGTTTGCCCTTATTTCTCCTGTATATCCCTAAAACGTGTTAATGGCGACATTTTCGAAATTAAAACTGCAATGTATTTGTCTCAACAGTTTAAAACGATATCAGTTCCTGCCTTCTTTTTGAAAGTATTGGTTTATTATAGCCAATTCTCTTTCCATGCTCCACAACAGCCTGTTCCATCTCAACATCTGTTCATTTTACGATTATAGCTGCTGATTGATTATATTACTGGTGAAATAACAGTGAAATAACTATTGTGCATTAAACTCGAACTGTTAGGACAGTTACAGAGGCTAAAGTTTGACTTTTTTGCTGCTGTATACTAAAACAATACCTAAAATGCATCAAATCCTGTTGTTGTTTTGCAGGAAGTTTAGTGAGCAACATCTGCCTCGACGGTTAACGAGGTGAGTAGAAACTTCAGCTAAGCCCGACAGAACATACTATTTACAAGTACAACTTACCAAATCAGTAAATCATCAAACTTAAGTTATCTGATTTCTGAAATTCAAAAAGTGAGACTCCTATAGATTTGCTAGCCACCATGAAAATGCACCATGTAATAAAGTGCACATTCTTGGTTGGAGCTTCTTTTACATGCATTACTCCATCTGACTCGTTGTATGGATGTGGTCAGGATAGTTCGCTGGCTAAGCACAGTGATACCATAGTCAATAAAACAAGTTTTGATGTATTTTAAAGCACATAGCATACCAATAAGGCTTGTCGGCTCAAAGAAGCTTTAAGTTCTCTGAAATGTCCTGGTAGACAGTTGCTGAGCTTGAACTTGATAAAACACAGTGGATCAAACCCAGCAGATGACATGGTTCCTCAAACCGTCACCAGCTGTGGAAACTTCACACTGGATCTCAAGCAATCTAGATTTCGCAGCTCTGTGCTCGTCTTCCAGACTGTGGGACCTGGATTTTAAATCAAATGTATTTTTTTTTTCCCTATCTGTATATGAATGAAATTATATATTTCATTGCCATCTTGTTTTTTAAATTACCTTTCTTAGCTCTTTGCAAAGGGAGCTAAAAATCTGACATTGTGCACAATCATATGATTTTGTGCTGATATACATCTACACAAACGATTTCTGCATTGAAATCATTTTGATGAATTTTATGTAATATATTCAAACTTATAAAGTGAAGGGGTTTCACTTTTTGAACAGGATTACCAAAATAAATGGTTTGATATTCTAATTTACGGAGTTACACTTTTATTAAGCCGATTGCTATTTGTGGTATTTAATACATCTTTATTCCAGGGAGGCTATGAGGACGTACTTGAAAGAGAAGGAGGATCAGACAGTCCTCGTACTGCATGCAAAAGTGGCACAAAAGTCATACGGGAACGAGAAAAGGTTTGTGTGAGGCCGATTTATTCAAATAAAAATAGTTTCTAAACAGGATACATGTTTGGAGCTTTTTCATATTATTAATATTGTCCCCCCTCTTAGGTTTTTCTGCCCGCCACCATGCGTGTATCTGATGGGGACGGGTTGGCAGAAGAAGGTGAAGGAGTTGGTGAAGGAAGGTTGCTCTGAACCAGAGGCCCAGCCTTATGTTTTCATTGGGATAGGCAGCAGTGAGCAAGACATGCAGCAACTCTTTCTGGAAGGAAAGGTGAGTCACAAATAGTGATATAACATGGGCTCACAGTATCTTACAAAAGTATTTTGCCACACCACAAACACAAACATCAATGTGTTGTATCTGAATTTACGTTATAGACAAGGGTGTAATAGTATCAAGAAACCAGCTGGTTTCGTTAGCAAGAAACCAGCTGGTGGTTTCTTAATACTAGTTGAGGGTAATTATTATTATTTTTTTTTTTTACTTTGTTCAACTGTAAAGATTTCTAACAATTCTATTTTATGAGTGTCCCAAGTAATTTGACAAGTGATCTGCATAGAGCTAACTCCAGGTTTGGTTTGATTTTTGTTAACTAATAAGGTCGTCATGAAACAATAAAACCACTAGACAACAAGATTTATGAATGGGAAGTTTCTGAATAACTCTGTGCTGACATTTGATTATTGAAACAAGTGTACATTCCTGTGGAGGAATTCTGATATATCAACAATCCAAACGATTTATGAATTGAGTGCAGCTGCTGTATAAACTCCTGCTGACAGACTGGCATCTGGAAACTGTACTGGTGGGCAGTTGCATGTCTGTTGCTGCGAACGTACTTGATGCTGTTTAAACGCTACGGACGTTTGGATTTTCCTCCGTATCAGTAATATTTACATTCAGCTAGATGTTGTTTCAGGTGTCCAACGAAGTTCATTATAGAGAGCTTTGTAATTTGTTGCCGATGAAAAATATTGACATTAAGTCTAGATTCTTTCCTTTTGTGTTCACTGTAGCTGACTGAGAAGCCAGCTAATCGGTAGCTTGAATAATTAGATGAGGCCAGCTAGAGAGCTCCAGAGATCCAGTAGGAAAATCAGTCGACGGGACATCTCACTCAACAAATCTAACCTTATCTGGAAAGTGACAAGAATAAAGGTTTAGAATGGGTTTTGATCAAAGAACTATCATATTTAAGAAAGATCCCAGAAATTCCAGATTTAAATTTGATTGAGAATTCGTGGCAAAATTTAAAAACTGCTGTTTAAATTCTGACTGAGCCTAAGCAATCTTGCTAAGAGTGGACAGAGGTGTTGAACCAACTCAATGTAGTTACAGCTGCAAGTGTTTTATTTTTCTATCATATGATTGATTCAGATAGGCTAAATACAGATGCACTGAACAATTTTCAGATTTTTATTTGCGATAAATTCTGGAAGCCATCTATCTTCCTCCTGGCCCTTGTTGGAGTACCACAAATCCCAATTAAGTTCGCCCATGTTTGATAGTAATTTGACAAAATGTGGAAAATCGCATGGGGTATGAACACTTTTGCAAATTACTGTGTATGCAGCAGCTTTATACTTTAGAAACTTGTTCTGTCAAACGCATAAAAAAAGGAATTGAAAGCGGCTCTAACTTGGTGTGTCCTCAAAAACACCTCTAACGTTTTGCCCTCTCTCTGCGGTAGAACTTCTGCACGGCTAAAACCCTGTATATCAGTGACTCAGACAAAAGAAAGCACTTCATGCTGTCTGTGAAGATGTTACATGGAAACAGCTCGGATATCGGCGTTTTCCCCAGCAAGAGGATCAAAGTCATCTCCAAACCTTCCAAGAAGAAACAGTCCCTGAAAAACGCAGACTGTGAGTCCACACCACATCACTGTGCGGATTTAATCTCTTGGAGAACATTTGGTTTCATGTTCCTCTCCATCTTTCACCAGTGTGCATAGCTTCTGGGACTAAAGTGGCCTTGTTCAACCGCCTGCGTTCCCAAACAGTCAGTACCAGGTACCTTCATGTTGAGGGAGGGAACTTTCATGCCAGCTCCCAACAATGGGGCGCCTTCTACATCCACCTGTGTGAGTCAATCTTTCTTTTTTTCTTCTTCTTATTCTTCTTTTTAGCTTTCAGTTATTTATGTATTTATTTGAATAAGTAGATGCTGAGAGAATTTTATCAATTTGTTTAGTGGATGACGATGAATCTGAAGGGGAGGAATTCACCGTAAAAGATGGCTACATTCACTACGGCCAGACGGTGAAATTGGTCTGCTCTGTTACTGGCCTGGCCCTGCCTAGACTGGTATGTAAGCTGCTGTTGCACAAATGTCCCGAAGTGTAGCAGGACATTTGTTTTTTGTTTGTGTCTGTGTTTTCTTTGGCAGCGTTCACGATGGGTGCTCTTTCTGCATTTCTTCAGATCATTCGTAAAGTTGACAAGCAAGCAGCGCAGTTGGATGCAGATGATCCTGTATCTCAGCTTCACAAGTGTGCCTTCTACCTGAAAGATACAGAGAAAATGTATCTCTGTCTTTCACAGGAAAGAATCATCCAGTATCAGGTGCGTAGATGGATGCCTGTGCACAGCTACACGTCTGCAGCTGTTGACAATTTTTTTTTTTTTTTTTTTTTTTTTTTTTTTATAAAAGTTTTTTTTTTAAAATAAAGATTAGGGAAATAGTCTTTGAAGGGTGATTTATACCGTAATTGTATATTTTCTGCTACATACAAGGAAGCTGCAGTACATTTGTC